CGTCGGATCTGGAGAGAGGGAGGTTGGCTAGTGTTGGGGTGGGGCTGGGTTTTATATTTTATGGGGCAAAGGGGTGGGGCTGGATCTATGGTTGGGGTGGGAATGTGTGTCGGAAAACCGCAGCCAACCAGTCAGAAAATTCGGGATAAAGCGATATATATTCATGACCCACAATTTTATTTTCTTTATTTTATTCAAAATTGGGAGGCTAACCAAATCTTCAATCAATCACTACCCAACATCCATTTGCACACGGAAAAGGCAAAAGATGGAAAATACCAGAATTGCAAAGAAAACAGAGGATTTTCGAAGAAGAAGAAAGAAGAAGAAACCTGTTGAAGAATAACCCATTAAAAGTTTTTCATTTGGTTTTTAGTTTCTCTTTTCTGGCTTAGTTTTCTGCAACCAAAGTTTCAGCTTCGTATATCCAGTCTCTTATTGCTTAATTCCCTGGTGCGTAAATGAAAGACTTGAACTTTAGCTTTGATTGCATGCACTTGATCTCTTTTTTGTTTCATGTTGATTTTTTTTAATGGTATATTGCTCTCTATGTGGTTGCCAAGTGAAAAGGAATTGAAATTTGATCATGGGTCGTCTGCTTTTTCTGTATTGTTTTGGTTTCTGGGAAATTTTAATAGTTCAAATGAAAAGAAATGGTTGGTTGTGTTGAGTTCAGCTTAACAAAGGTTTTAGTTTGATATCGTGCTTTATGTTGAACAGTTGAAGAATCAAACTTTGAGGCTGGGTTTTGGCTGTCTCTCTGTGAACCTCTCTCTCTCTCCTCTCTTTTTCTCTGTCTTTGTGTGTCTCTGTCACTCTCTATCTCAGTCTATGAACTCGCAACAAGGAAGGGGTTTGGTCGGCAAAGCTATGAACTCGCGAAGAAGTAGGCATGGGTGGTAGGCATGGGTGCCTTGATGGTTTTTGGCGATGGCTAGGTGGTGGTCGGTAGACGATATTTTGGAGACAGAGCGAAAGAGAGGGAGAGACAGAGCGAAAGGACGTTTTTACCCCTCATTTTGACAGATAAATTGACAGAGTTGGACGGTAGGACCCAATTGCAACTAATTGTTTAATTAAAGGATGTTATTGTCACAAAAATTAGTTCGCGGACCCAATTGCAACTGGGGCCATAATTCAAGGACATCTACAATAATTAAACTTTTTTTTCCTGATGAATCTCTATTTAAACTTACGTTTACATAACTATGTAACCCCATAGGCTATAGACTTTTATTTTTGGTCTTGGAAGTTTCTCATTTTCACTTAGGTTCTCGGGTCATTTCAATTTTGGTAATTGTAGTCATTTAGTTTTGTTTTAGTAATTAAGTCCCACAAAATTTAGTTTGATTGCAAGCCAAACTAAAATACGTGACTAAAATTGCTTAAATTGAAACGACTAAAATTGCCCAAATTGAAACGATATAAACTGAAGTGAAGAATAAGTCAAATTACAAAATTGCTCAAATTGAAACGACCAAAATTGCCCAAATTGAAACAATATAAACTGAAGTGAAGAATAAGTCAAATTACAGAGACAAAAGATTTAATACCTATACTGACAAGTACTAATTTACTCTTAAAAAAAAAACCTATAGCTTTCTTGAAAAGACTATCAAATAAAGAAGATAAAGTGAGAGCAAAACAGTCGAAGATAAATTATATAAATGAATAAAAATATGAAATTAGAACGAAATTAATTAAGAAAGGGAGGAAGGGCCTTTTCTCATCGAAACCAAGCCCATCTCGAAGAAGGCCCAATATCTCTGGTTCAGCCTATCATATATTTATTATTATTATTATTATTATATCCGTTAGACACAGAGACGCAGCAGAGCAGAGTCAAAAGAGAGCAGAGAATGACGCAAGAGCTTCCCGCGTTGTGTCTGAACAGTCCGAGCTCACCATACAAGCTCCAGCCAATGCCATCAATGGCATCGCCACCAATTCTCTGCGACCCAGTGCTGCGTTGGAGCACTGCTATTGGCCCTTTCACCCTTATATATTTATAACCTCAGCCTCAGCTGGTAAGGCAACAAAACCCTAAATGCTAAAGCTCATTTGGTCATTTAGGGTTCATGGCTGGGTTAACTCCACCTCCCAGAAAGTTTATAAAAGTTTTTGGCTCCTGGGCTCCATGAAAAACTTGTATGCCTCTCTCTCTCTCTCTCTCTTTCTCTCTCTCTCTCTCTGTGACTTAATGTTTTGATTGAAAATATATTTTTTGTCTGCAACATGTTTTCTGTAGTTCTGCATTTGAACCAGTTTTGACAGTTGTTACAAGGAGCTCATCCTAGTTTAAGTTGGACTCAGTGATCACTGGTATTTTAGTTCTATTCATTGTCCCGTTGTATTCATTTGATACTCAAGTGGGAGAATGTCAAAACCTATTAAGCAAACTCGTAAATATATGTGAATCGTACTTCTCCGTCTCCAGACTCTGCAGTTTCCGGTATCACTTCCATGAATTTTGTTTTTCTGACATGTTTGAATCAGTAATGATATTGTTCATGCATTGTTGTTCTAAATTTCAGAATTCAGATTATAAATATTGAGCTCTTGTTTTCAGCGTCTATGATTTATTTGGTGGTGTTGTTTTGTTATGAGGTGTGACTACTTGCGAATGACCACAAGGAAATAAAACTGCTTAGTTCTTTAACTTAGCATAAGGGCTTCTTAATGGGACATTCAGAGGTTTGTAAGAACCATAAAGGAGGAACAAAACAATGCATACAGGGGTGTGACTGCCTTCAGATACAGCAGATACAACAAACTCTTAATTTCAACTGTACATCTTTTTATAATCCTGATAATTTGGCTAAATTTGAATGGAGGTTGTTAGTTTCTCATCAAAGTGATTAACTTAATAAGTTTCATAAGCCAAAAATTATAACCTTAAGTTATTGATAGATGAATTAGTTTCTCAAAAGAAATTTACCATTATCCGGTCCAACTCATTGTTAATGTATTACAGTAAAAGGATTCAATGTCTTTGATGTTGCTTTCTGCCTAAAGGTGTGGGTGTTGTTTTTGATATTCTGTTTTGTGCAATGATCATTATTTGGTGGTGTTGTTTTGTTATGAGGTGTCACTACTTGCGAATGACCACAAGGAAATAAAACTGCTTAGTTCTTTAACTTAGATAAGGGCTTCTTAATGGGACATTCAGAGGTTTGTAAGAACCATAAAGGAGGAACAAAACAATGCATACAGGGGTGTGATTATCTTCAGATACAGCAGATACAACAAACTCTTAATTTCAACTGTACATCTTTTTATAATCCTGATAATTTGGCTAAATTTGAATGGAGGTTGTTAGTTTCTCATCAAAGTGATTAACTTAATAAGTTTCATAAGCCAAAAATTATAACCTTAAGTTATTGATAGATGAATTAGTTTCTCAAAAGAAATTTACCATTATCCGGTCCAACTCATTGTTAATGTATTACAGTAAAAGGATTCAATGTCTTTGATGTTGCTTTCTGCCTAAAGGTGTGGGTGTTGTTTTTGATATTCTGTTTTGTGCAATGATCATGCAATAATGTATGCACTTGTGTGTGTTCTATGCTTTTTGACATCAGACAATTAGATCATTTTGCCGTCTTGGTAAATTATTTATTATAGGATAATAAATGATTAAATAAATAAAACCCTACCACTTGATTTTGTTAACAAGAAAAATCTCCCTGGTCATATGATTGTACTGCTGCCTTTTCCACTGCAGAGATTATGTGCATCATGTTTATGGTACACATTCATTTCAACTCCTTGTTTTGGTCCAACTCTTCATCTTGCCCTTGATCTTACATGATAGTGAAATAAAGTTGAAATTGGGGAAGAGTAATGCATACACGTTTCTTTTTTTTAATAATTTCTGGATCAGTGTTTTAGAAATTCAAATAGTTGTGATTTAAAACCTTCAAGGCGGGCACCTAATGTTTATTTTGCATGAATTTTATGACCTAGGATTTCTAAGACACTGTATATATTGGTTTTAATTTTCAATTTATGCTCTAAGGAGAAGGATAATCATATAACCCGCACTTATTTGGACTATATTATCTTCAGCCTAAGATTAGATTGTAGGTACATGTTAGTATTCATTAATTTTTATCGTTCACTTATTCAGTTTTGAACTATTCTACTATGATGTCTGTTTGGATAATGTCGTAATTCGAATTAATTCATGATAAAATTAGTTGATAAAGTAGACTTTCTCATGTTTCTTTAGGCACTGATTTTATGAAAACATGTTAATAATTGAATTTAGGGAAATTTATAAAGTTGAGACAGTTGAAAAGAAATTTTCCTAACAGATTTTGTGTTATATTCAATATTGAACGACTCATCTACAAATCATGAAATGACTTGAATTTTTGATATGTTGAACATATAGATGTCTTCTTATATACTGAAATGATTGGATAATAATTTTATTTATTGTGTATTTTTAAGTAATCTATGTTTAGGAGAAAGTATGTGCCGGCAGATTTTATGAGTAACTTTGGAGGCCATTTTGGACTATTAATTGGAGATAAAACGACTCCACATTTTTGTTTTATAAAGATTAGTGTCCCTAGTTTGATTCTATGTAAAGTTGTGTTAATCAGACTTATAAATTAATTACGATAATTTTTCAAGTAAGTAGATGTCATTGCTGGAAACTTTCTTTGGTAGTTTTGTGGTTGTTTTTTGTTGTGCACCTATGGTTTTTACTATGAACTACATCAGTAGTATATCTGAAAAATTGTTTTATATCACCTTATCAAAGTGTTTACCAGCTATTATGTTTACAAGTTATTTAACCAGCATAAATATTTTGGTGCTCTCTTTTGAAGCAGCAAAGTAGTGAGTGTTTGCCCAAGTGGGAGAAGTGATGTAAGAAAGAAATTTTGGGCTTTACACTCATGGCCTTATTATTATTTTTATGCTTCTCACTTTTGTTTCCAATAAAATTTCAATAATTTGTTTTGATGGCAGGCTATTTAGTTTCTTAGCTAATGATCTTGTTTTACAAAGTATGGATATTTGTCTAGGAAATTAAATTGGTGTTTGAGTTTTGTAGTTGAATAAAGATGCATGCAGTTATTAATATGTTAATATGTTTTTGGTTTCAAACATATGTTTGGCACATTGTATTTGGAAAAGTGCAAAACTACTATAGTTACTAACGCTATGCAGACAGTATTGATAAATATTGGCACGCAATCAATCTCCAACTAAATTTTTTGCCAGTGTAAGTGTTCTTACGTATGAGTTATCAATAATGCATACTACTGATTTCGCAGTTTCTGATTTCTTACGTATGAATTGATTTGCAGCTTAACATAATGCTTAAATAAATT